ACATTTGGGACGCCTGTTGGTAAGTCCATGGCTGTTGCCATGAGTTGCTTGAACACATGCATTTACAATGCAGTGACTTTTGCAAAGCAGAGTTGTCCACTTAAGCCATTTGTCTGTTCAAACTGAAGTTTAAGCCAGTGAGCTAAGGGTACTGACCCTTCCTCTTTGGTCTCTTTCTGTTTTCTCCCCGGGGTCTTGATCTTTAACCTTTGTGTTCACTCCCCCGGGTTCTGCTACTTTGTTTTAGCTCTGCTTTTAACTCTCTGTCATTTTTTCCCTTCTTTGGATTCGGGGTGAAAGGATAGGAGAAAGAAGATTTTGGGGTCCTACATATAAAAGAAGTAGAGGGAGGTACAATGGCCCCGTTTCCTTTAGGTTGGTGATAATCTCTAAGACAAACAAGGCTTTATAGTTTAAGTTACCCACTTCTTAGCAAAACCAGGGGAAATTATTATAATGATTTCTGGGTAGTTTAACACATCATACTGTAAGTCCAACCCATGTTGGGGGTTTGGGATTGGTGTGGGGGAAGGAAGGGGACAATCCTGTTTCTCATGGTCACTTGAGGATCCAGATTTATGGAGGTTCTGCCATCTTGTAGCTCCACTGTCTGAAAAACGTAGCTTCCAAGATCTCTGAGGAAGAGGAAAAGTATGCAGGTGGCACGGACAGGAAATGACGTATGTCACTTCTCCTTATATTTCATGAATAAAGCACACGGCCCCATCTTCTCACACAGAGGCTGAGAAGAGAGATCTTCCCTGTCTTCAGGAAGGAAAGGAGCATTGGATGTGAGTGAGAACTAGTGGTTACTACCACAGCAAATTTTAGATTTCAGGTTGTTTGTAGTGTTTGTGTCTTCAGAGGCTGTGTTCATTATATACTTCCAACTTTGAAACCGTCTTCCCCATTTGACTGATTGCAAGTTGAATCAAATTCAAATATATGCTTAACCCAAGTCTACTCTTAGGAAAAACAAACAAATGAAACTTTGAATGTGAAATAAAACTATATTGGGAGCTTTTGTGCATGTTCCAGTTTCATTTTCTTTTAAAGCTGTTCTTTGTGATCGCAGGTTTATTCAAATCCTGAAGCGTTGTCAAGTAAGTAGTATTTAATCTGTGAAAATTTTCAAGTGGCCGCTTTCTCTCTTTCAAGTGTTTTTTTTCCTCAAGTGTTGCTGTAGTCATTTTAAGATTGAAATGAACCGTTTGATTTTAAAAAATTATTTATGGCACATCAAGTAGCACTTAGTGTTTTGTCACAACATTGAAACCGTTTCTGAAGCCCCGTGTAAAATACGGCAGAGAGGTCGGGAGGCTTATGTATAGAACTTCTAGAAACATACCTCACCATTGGAACTGGTTATAATTTCTGGGTGCTGACATGAAGATTAATAATGTTAACTCTGATTTTGGCAATTTTTGCCAATTTCATTGCCATGGTCCTTTTCTTTCAAGTTATTACCTGGAACTGAAGTGATAACAAATGTTTCATGTTTATACTGCCAGATAAAAGGTTAAGTTTTCATATGTTACATGCTCTTAAACACACACATGTGCACACACACACACGCACAAATACGCACACTGGATCAGAAGGAAATGAGTAATTCTCCTAAAATGAAAAGATTGTCCTAGTTTTAACATTAGGTGACTAGTTCCCGTGTGGTTAAGTCATACGTAAAAATTGGAAATTCAGCCTATGGGTCTTTGTGCGTTGACGATATCATCCAGTTCTAATTTTCTTTTGTTTTTCTGGGAAATGATGGTGCTCTTTGCTTTGCCAAGTTTTATTATTGAGTCAACTGCCAAAGTTTAAGAGAGAGAGTCAAGGGCCCTTAAAATTATTTGGTGTTGAGTGAAGAGGCAGAGAAAGGTATTTCATATCCCCAAACATTTTAACTTTTATATCTCTACCTGATGTTGGACTATAATCTAAACTTCAAGGCTTTTCCGATTCTTTTTTAAGTGATGTGCACTATTGGGTGAAATCTGAATATAAGTGAAGGGAACTTTAATCCTACTCATTGATACCCAGTTTGGAACTACATATTCTAATTTTTATTGGATTATATTCTTTTTTTGCCTGGTCTTCCCTATATTTAAACTTCTGTGCATTAGAAGGCCTGTGTGCCTGCTTGTGGTTTTGCACCATCTGGAAGTTAAAATGACTTTAGAAATGATGTCATACTTGCTTACTGCAAACTGGGCTAATGTTGGTTGAGAATTGGATGCGGTTCAGGTCAGAGTTTTGTCTTTAAAAAAAAGACCCTTAAGCTTCGTTTCTTGATTCTAGGAGACTGTGCAAAGCTGTAAAGATAGAGTGAAGGTGATTGAAGGGCATGATTCAAATTCCTTTGAAGCTGAGGACATGCTTTTGGGTGCATGGAAAATAAGCTTCCAAACAGAAGACCTCAGCTGGCACAGACTTCCTCCTGCCATGTAGAGTTTGGGTGTTGCGAGTAGTGTGTTGATCACGACCATCCTTGCTCTCTCCTTTATTCCTGGAGAAATATTCCTATAACCAGGGTTGCTTTTTATCTCTCCTGGGCTCAGGAAGATGCGTCAGGGCATTGATAGATCACACAGGGTGAGGAGGTGCTACAAATGTTAAGCATGTTGTTCATCAATACAGGGTCTCTTTTTCTAAACTCTCTCCAGCACCAATCACTACTTCCCATATTGTAATTTACTTATATCACAGTTTTGGATATTGGATATTTCCTTTAGTCCAGATATAGACCATCCGTCTTTGATAGCTAGAATGCAGAGCTCATGGGACCACAGTTTCTTCTCAGATTCATGCTGAGTCCTGGTCAGCCTGTGTGCAAATCTCTGTAATTGAATGTAACCCTTTATAACCACTGCTATGGTCTGGAGTGCTCAGCATGTCCTGCCAGTTTCCAAGGAACCCATCAAATGCCATCCATTATATATAAACTAAAAATCATATTTTTCCACCAGATATGATGAAAACCCAAAGAGAAATACTAATGCTATTCCAGGTTTACAGGTGTAGATAACTTTAGACAAAGATAGGCCACTTGAGAATCTGAGATGCTTAAGCTTTAGTGAACTGGCATGAATTTTCATTTCGGAAAGGAAAGATCCCCAGGACATGAGTATCCCCTTCCCCTTCCCCTTCCCCGCCCCTGGATCTCTGTGGCCATTCTGTGAGAAGAGGCACAGCTATCGCTGCTTGAGGATTCTGCGGGTCTCACCCTCTGCAGTCACAGAATGGCCGTCTGCTCTCATAATGCGGTCAGGGTGACTCTGCCCACTGAGCTATAAGCACTTATCAGCACCTCTTCCCTTGCTGGGACCTCCCAGCTTCATCCTCCTCTCTGAGTCAGAAACTAGAAAACTCTCTACCCACCCACCTCCCCATCACCTTTGACCCCTTTTTTGGAAAAGGGTAAGAAAAGGAGCCTCTACTCTAACTTTTTTTTTTTTTTTTTAAAGATTTTATTTTTTCCTTTTTCTCCCCAAAGCTCCCCGGTACATAGTTGTGTATTCTTCGTTGTGCGTTCTTCTAGTTGTGGCATGTGGGACGCTGCCTCAGCGTGGTCTGATGAGCAGTGCCATGTCCGTGCCCAGGATTCGAACTAACGAAACACTGGGCCGCCTGCTGCGGAGTGCGCGAACTTAACTTAACCACTCGGCCACGGGGCCAGCCCCTCTACTCTAACTTTTTATCTCTAATATCATCATTCTTCCCTGATGTATTCTACCTAAGTCTGATTCCTTCCTTTAAAATCATAAAATGTCACGCCCTTAGAGACTGTCTGTTCTAAGCTCTTTGTTTTATGGATGGAGAAACTGAGGCTGGAAGGCTGGGTGAGAGGAAGTGAGAGTAATTTGTTCTGATCCTCACAGCTACATAGAAGCAGAACTCAGCCTAAAACCTAAGTGTCCCCTTTCCAGTGTTCCAGGTTGCCTTCGCCTGTTTATCTGTTTTGGCTTATTATGGTATTCCTTCGGCCTTTTTTTTTTTTTTTTTTTACTTTTATCTTTTTTTTCCCCTTTTCATCTAATTTTTACTTACTGGTAGTATAATGAGCAAAATGTCCCACAAGATTTGCAATGAGATTCAGCAGCCCCCTTCTTACCTCTGTCCCATTTCTTCTTCCCCAAGACAACCTGCTCTCACTCTTTTTGCCTGGTTATTTTGATGTCTCTAAATAACGTGTTGGCAGCGCTGCTTCCTGATGCTTGATGTAGCGGCTGTCTATCAGGTTCCTGGTGTGGAGGGTGAGGATTAAAGTCTTCCATCACCCTGATACCCCATATCGCCCATCTAAGTTTTTTTGCACATGGTCTTTAGAATGTTAAATTAAGAAAATAAAGCTTATGTTTTCTCATTTTATTACTGACATTTGAAAAACAGAAATTATAATAATCTAATTTTTGATCTAAGGTAGAAATAGGATTTTTCTTTTGTATACTGTGTCTTCTTTTTCGTTAGTATTTGGAAAGCAGTCTTTCATAAAGCTGGAGAATGGGTGTCATTTCCATGGCATTTACTTCCTCTTGGCAACATGTATTTTTCTAATTTAGGACTGTTTCTCTACTTGCCAATCTTGTTCTTCCAGATGTTCGTGGCATGGCTCGTTGTGGCGTCCATTTTGCTGGAGGATGCTGCAGAGTGTCAGCAGCATTGTGCCCTCTCTGGGCTGTCAAAGACACAGAGTGTTAGTGTACTTTGTTTCCCAGCTTATGGCTTCACCATATGGAGACGTACGACTATTTCATAAAGTCTTATTTCATATAAACCTCATATTTTAAAAAAATATATCACTCTTCAGGTACATATGCCACAGGACTTTAGGTGGATATAAGCTGTTAAGACGCATGGCATCGAGGTGCCCCTGGGCAGTGGTTGGATCACGCTGTGCTCAGAAGGCATCCTGCTGCCCTTCCTCCCTCCCAGGGCATCACTGGTGGTTCCTGATGACCTCTGGGAAAAACTGCAGCCTCCTTTCTTTTTCCTGATTTCAGGTAGATGCGTTGAGATTACGACTGGAAGAGAAAGAATCTTTTCTCAATAAAAAAACAAAACAGCTACAGGACCTCACAGAAGAGAAGGGGACACTGGCTGGAGAAATTCGCGACATGAAGGATATGTTAGAAGTGAAGGAAAGAAAAATCAATGTCCTTCAGAAAAAGGTGAGTAGCTGACATTAAGGCATTGGTAGCATCCATGTTTTGTCATTTCCAAGAAATTTTTGAGCTTGTGGTAAAGAAGAAATTTTTGTCTAAGAATTTTGGAGTAAGAAGTATGCACTTTTAGCTTACTGGTATTTAATTTACTGGTAGTTGTATCATGTCATTTTTAGCAGGGCCTGATGAATTTTCTATTTGATTACCTGAAAACTAAATAGTGGTGATTTTTTTCATTTGCCAGCTTAAACATGGAAATAATTGTTTAAATTTAGATGTAAGTCTAAAACAATAAAAAGCCCCAAAAGTTAGTTAATTTTTCCTTTTTCGCTACTGAGAGTTGAGCAATGTATTATGTAGGTCTTAGAGGTATTTTAGATGGATTTTTTATTTACGTCAACTTTAGTAGGTCTTATCCTGCCAAACCCATACAGATTTCAGGGGGTCGGGTAATGTTTACACTCATTACTTAACTGGAATCAGTGAGAGAATGTGTAGTAAGTTCTGACTACAGTGACCTAACACAGAAGGTGCTTGACCTGGGGTTAGGACCCTTCTTTCCTTCCTTCTTTCAGCAGCTCATTTTCTCCATTGTAGAGGATACAGGTTTTGTGACAGCACCCTGATTTTCTTTTGGAGAATTCCCATTTGCTACTGTGTACAATTTTAGTGGGACTGTAGTGTCCCCTGCCTTTCCCTAGGAAAAGGATAGGCAAAAAGAGAAACCAACACCTGCTTGTTTAAGAAAGAGAAATGTATTGGAAAGACATAGGGCTCTCAGGTTAAGAGGCAGCCAGCATAGAAACTGGGAGGGAACCAGTGGTGGGCAGCAGGAGATGGCCAGCCTGGATGCTGCCATAGACAGGCATGTTACTGTGTACCATGCTGCAGCTGTAGGCAAATGGAATCTAACTGGCCTTTCCTCTTGGTGTCATTTGCTGTCGTCATCTCTCACTTTATTTATATCAACAGCATTCTAGCTGTTTTTCCTGCTCCTACCCTTACCTTTCCTACAGCCTGTTCTTAACACAGAAATTGGAGTAGTCCTTTTAACACATAAAACACTTCTTACCACTCTCTGATCAGAACTCACAACCACCCACGTAAATGGGGCCCAGTGCAAAATGAAAGTGTGGGGCCCCTTGCTCAATAAGTATTGAAAATTTCAGGATGGTAACAGCAGGGCATTAAAGCAAGCATGGGACCCTTCTGAGTTTGGGGCTGTTTGCACCCATGAAGCCATTCCCATCCCCAGTAGCTTCCATCCTCACTCTCTGGATATTGGTGATCTGATGGATCATATTATTAATTCACTTCTGTAGACATCTTTACAGACAAAGTTCTGGCAGTTGGTTTCCCCCTTTGTAGCTCCAGGTAATTGGTACAGATGATTAGAAGAGAACTGGGAAGAGACGATGGCGGATTCCTGAATCAAAGAGACTGTCTAGGGCAGGTGGGACTAACAGAAAAACAGTTACAGTTGCAGTTCTTGGAGCACGTACTAAGGATTCAAAAGAAGGCTTTTCGTTTTAAATCCCCAGCAGTGAATGATAACAAAGGCTGACATTTACTGAGCTTACTTGTGTTGAACACTGTATGCTGGGGACTCTGCTATACTCGTTAACAAGTGTTCTTTACTGACTCTTAACCCATAACCCTGTGAGGCAGGTACAGTTATTAACCCCAGGAACTGAGGCTTATGATTCGCTTGCCTGAGGTCATACAACCTAAATACAAGTTTTTTGTCTTTGGGAAAATAGAATAAAATACTTATTGCAAATTAAGAGAATAAGCCTCATTTTTCTTTGGACCTCATGTTTTGTGATGATGATACCAGGTGTGAGAGTGAATCAAGGAAGAAGATCACAATTGCTTTTTTATACCAGGAGTTGAGACTAAGCTCTCTCATTCTTGAGGACCGAGTGGCAACAATTTTCTCTGTAAAGATTTTGGGAAGGCACTTTCAATGCAGAAGTGACAAATGGCCACTTTTGCTGACATGCATATTTTACAGAATTTTAAACTTTCCCCCCAGCCAGATTCAAAAGAACTAGTTTGGAAGTTTGAGAACAAAGCTGTTGGATATTATGGCGTTTTTGGGCAACATGATCATAACCCCACTTATTTAAACCATGTAGATAATGAATTTGGAAGTATTTCGTGTATATTTGGAGAGCTTGTTCAGCTTTAAGTTTTCTTCACTGAGTGTTTACCAGTACATCTGGGGAGGAAATAAAATCACTGGCGACATAGCGAAGGGGCAGGAGTTCTCTTATACCTGCAATGTGAAAGAGAAATTATCCCTAAGGAAGTGATGTACACAATTCAGAAACTGACTCGAAATGTGGGAATAACACAAAAGCTAATGGGCCAATGAACCATTGTCTTTGCGAGTGGAGACTCCTTAGAGTTTTGACCACATTCAGCATAATTGGCTGTTTTAAGGCAGGCCTGGATTGGAATAGCATAAGCTTTGGATTAGGGTGTCTTGGCGTGGAAGAATAATAAACTCGTGTCAATGTCAGAGGTGCAGTATTACTTAATATTTCTTTTTCGTAGACTCTTTGGCAGCCAGCAATGTGTTTTGATGCCAGTAGAGCTGGGTATGCTCCTTTCATAGCCATGTTTAACCTGGCGAAGCTAGGCTTGCACCTCGTATCTGTCAGCTTTACCTTCAGAGCCTGGGTCTCAGAAGTCTTGTGTGCTCCATAAGCCACATGGACAAGTCACATGTCTGGGCAACAGACATGGACTGATGCTCTAAGCATTTAGTTACTTGAGGAAGGAAGTGAAGTTGAATAAACAGAGAACCCCAGGTGGCAGAATATCTGGAATCAAGCCTTTGTTGGAAAACACAAGTCATCGAGAATGGATTTTTGGTCCTACCACCATAGTTTTGGCTCTACTTTATAATTCCAAGATATGGAGTTCTTTTAGTAGGGGACAAAAATGTACATGTGTGAAAACTGTTTATTGGAATATCTTCTTGCGGCTATGATACTAAAGTCAGAGGAGTGGCACAGTTTTCATGCTACAGCCATAGCATACTGGTCCCATACCTGAATTCAAACTTTAACTGATGAAGTGCTACCTGACTATTGAGTTTTTGTAGGAAATGTCATAAAACCTTGATGACATTGTACATTTGGAAGGTGTACAATGCCCAGGATTTTAGGACATGGTAGCATTTATTTAAACCAGATCAAATTCAAACTGTTATGTAGCTCATAGATTCTTGTACCATAAACTTACTACCCAAGAAATTTTTTTAAAAGCCATTAAATTGGACAAAAATTCTATCTCCATTTTCATCCTAGGTCTCAGTCCCATGAGCAATGTGAATTTATAGAGCAGAGGTACTTTATTTATTAGGGGTAGAAAAACAGATGGAGATTTCTCTGGAAGCCAAGTTCACCAGCTGCCTAGGGCTTCATGGTTTGCCCTGTGGTAGAAAAGGTAGGGAGAGATGAGTGGAGTTGACTCCTGGGAGTGGAATATATGGACCTGCCCACTTTAACAGCTTTATTTTATGTAATTGGAAGTGCGGTGGTAAAAATTCTGAATGACGATGAACTCAAAGGTAAGGATGCTATGGGAGTGTGGTTATTAACATACTGAGTTTCTTCATGAAGTTTATCAAAAGAAGTAATATCTGAGAAGATGACTATAGAACATAGATATTTCCACATTAGTGAAAAATTGGTGTGAGGTATAGAGGACTTTTTGATTCAGTTGAGCTCTTTCTAGTGTTTAAACATCCAGTTGAACTTTTATTTTTATTTTTGGCAAACCTCCTAATTTTTTGAACACGTGGAAAATCATATTCATTTTGCATGTACTGAGTATTTCCGATGTGTCAGTCAGTCACTACTCTAGGTCCTGGAGGTTCAAAGAGAAATAAGACATTCTCCAGTCCTCAAGAAGCTGACAGTTTGGTTGGGCAGACAGACACGCATAATCCTAAATGTAAGTACAGTGAAGAGCAATGTGGCATGTTACCAGAAGCAAACCACTTGATGGATGCAAACAGCAGAAGCTAATTCTGGCTACCTTAAGCAAAAGGGAATTTATTGCAAGGATATCCAGAGCTCTAGTATCTGACTAGTAGAACCAGATTAGGGGTGATCAGGGACCAGAACATCTCTAGGAGACCAAGACAAGGCAGGCAGTGCCATGATCTCATAACCGGGAGCCTCTGGTCACGTGTCTTTTCTTGATCTCGCACCATCTTCCCTCTGCCCTTATATCACACTGTTGGTCAAGATTCAAAGTCCTGGGACAGATCTCCAAATTTCACACAAGAGCTTCTCATTAGCAGGATCTAAATAGACCTTCCCTAAAAGGAATCTTGGAAATGTGGTTCCAAGCTTTCCACCTGAGCTTTCCATCAGTTCTTATGTCACTTACTCAGGGAAGTCTTTGCTGACACGGCAGGCTGGGAAAGATTTTATGCTCTAAAGCGTTTCTTGGCTCAGTTTGAAATTATGCGTCCCTTTAGTGAATGTTGGCTTCCCTCCCAGGGCTAAGCTCCTCGTGTGCCCCAACCGTGATCATCAAGATATCTCCATCTCCTTGCAAAATTCTTGGCAGGGGATGGTCCTCAATCAATATGCATTGGGTGAATAAATTATATCAGCAAATTCTGAATGAATGAGAACTTTGGAGTAGAGAAACCACTTTGAGACCCACTCCTGGACGAAGAATATTGTTAACTGTGAGAAGAGTCCTTTGCCCCGAAATGTCAAACCCACTCATTGTTCCCAGGACAGTATGTTCTGTATAGGCTGCAAGATGGAACCATCCCATAAATAATAAAACAAAGATGAGGAATTGACTGTTGCTGTACCCACTTCTGACACCTCCAGCCTCAGTTCCATTACCCTGGGAAGGTAAAAAGGGATGAAGGCTTAAGTAAGGGAGCTTAGCCAGTCTTCCTTCATTTTCCATTTTAATATAAAGAAAACGTGGTATTTATAGAGAATACTGTCTTGTTATGCAAAAGAAAG